ATAAAGAATTTGTTTTCTTTGAGCAACTGATGGAAACACTGAACATGTCCACACTTATTTGTTGTAGTAGCATGGAAGTACTTCAATGACCAGTTCTGGGGCATTCTCAGATACTGTAATCAACAAACCTAGGGCACCTCACCACACAGCACTGTACACAGCACAAGGTATTTTACTAATCTGTCCGGTTTAAAAGGGCTGAGACTCAGTGCATACATTGTAGCATTCTTCTTGGCAAGAAAATTGTATTTCAACTTCTATTAGTGAAAAGACTGCTAGAAGGGAATTCCTTAAATATTCTACTATTTTATTGCTCATGAAAGTAATTCTGTAGTCCTCTGTATGTATTAAAAAATCCATTCTTAGGATATGTGAATATTTTATTGCTTTTTTATAAATGTTGTTCTTAGAAACTGATCATAGAAGTGTCATAGTCCCACTTGGCTCTAAATAGCTACCATTCCTTAAGGAAAAGAAAAGGTTTCTTAACACTCCTGCTTTAAGAAAACAGAAAGGACTAAGACAATATATAAATACATCCATTATAGATGACTTGATACCAAGTCAGGAACACTGGAATATTCTTCCGAGAATGGATCATGTTAATCCAACCATCAATGAAATGAAGATTTCCATTTCTACACAACTCTCACCTCAGTTTTGTGCAAATGGAGTTGTAGTGACTGTTGTACGTAGATGAAAGGTAGACACCAAAGAAAAGGATTCTCCAAGTAAATAACTCATACAAAAGCTGTCTCCTTTTGTTTTCACACTGACAGGAGAGTACGTTACAGAAAATAGTCTATGTATTTTAGTATTTCATAAATCATCACTTGACATGAAAAAAGTTTGATGAAAGAATCACTAAGCAATGCAAGAAAATATGCCTTCATCCAAAAAAAGGTATTTGTTGGATCCACGCTCACTAAGGGAGCAAACATTGGGAGCCATCACTAGCCCGTTGGCCAGCCAAGATTAGTTTAGCGGAAAACTAACTATGAAGCTGATCAGCACTGAGTTCAGGCATGCATTAGTTCAGTTAACATCACTGTTCACTGCAGAAGAATGAACAAAGAAAAGTTCAATGTGAAACACAAAATAGCCAAAGTCTGAAAGTTCACACTTTTCAGTATGTGACTTTGATTTTTTTGCTGGACTTTATAAAAAGCATATAATAAGCATATAAAAAGCATATTTATTAAAAAAGCATCCACCCACAGTATTATCAGCATAATGCAGAGCTTGCTGGTAGCTAAAAAGGTTCATTTTGGCTTTTGTTAAATGTACACATCACTGAAGAACAGATGCATTCTGACTTATTTCTTCCTAAAGAAAACAGAAGGTACAAACCAAGATAGTTTGCATCTATTAATGCACTGATTAATGCTCCTTGCCAATTTTAAACCAGAAGAGATAAGACTATATCATACTACAGTATCACCCATTTTAAAAGCATCCAATTAATAAGTTTTCGTTACAGACGTTGGATGAAAGCTTTCTTTTTTTAAAACTCTTACTTAGGATGGTTCATGTTAAAATTCTTGGGGTGGGCCAAGAGTTCCTGCTCTACCATTACTGCTGCAGTAAAAGACAAAACCAAAAAAACCCTTAGGAACATTCAACACTGAATGAATGCTTGAATTTAGTTAGCAGTTCAGTTCATTCTTGGATTACTGTTAGATGAGAAAAAAATCCCTTTATTATTCATCCATGGAAATTTTACAAAAATACAATATAGTTATTCAAGTTGAGAAGGAAATGGTGTCCCTGTGACACAGATCTTGTGCCTCACTGTGTTCCTATGCAGAGGTACAAGGTACAAAGCTACTATAATTGTTATCCAGTTCCCTCAAAACCAGGAGCCTGTAGTACATCAAAACGTCTGAAAAGTAGGGATTAGAAGATAGATCAAACGACTAGACATCAACAACTTAAAGGATGCAGTTACTACATAGCAAGAAACAGTTCTGTAAGTACATCAGACGGAATTTCAGTGCAAGTAAGGCAGCACATACATGTTGGAGAACACCTTGGCAATAAAAAGGAAATATTCAGTAGCCCAGGCCAACAAGGAGAAATGAGCGTACACAGTAAAACCACGAGCTGATTCATCGTTCCACCTGCAGCATTCTATTAAACTTGATACATTCCCTCTGGAGCAGAAACTTGTGCGTTATCCTCTGTGACAAAACGTCCATTATAATGGACGCCCAGTGAGAGGATTTGGTCTGTAACAGATTCAAAAGAACTATATGTACTTAGTCGTGCAAAGCATGTTTAAATATTGTGACAGGTTTCTGACACCTCCTAAGAGCTGAAGACTAGAGGGAGACACAACCACTGAGATTAACCATTTCTACAGTCTGATTATTTCTACAGCAGTAACATAGGCCGCATAGTATTGCTACTTTTTTGTCACATGGCATCTCAATAAGGAGTTTGCAAAATTTCACCAGCAGCCTGTGGAGTTCTGGCTAGCTTTGAGTCTACCACATTGTCAGCTGTTAGCAACTACTGGCCAACAGCATCACTGCCTGTGCCAGCTTTCTCAGCACAATCCCTATGCATCACCTTTCTGTTTGATGACACTGGCTGCTTTACTAAAGAGATTCCACAGACTGTTCTTCAAAGACCAAGAAGATATCTGTAGATTGGGATTGTTCCAGGAAGAAGAATTTTATCACTGCCTATCAGTCTTGTGTAGTGTTGGGAAAAGGGACACATTTCTGGAGGGCATGCGTCTAGGGAACAAGCCTAAGCAATAAAACCAAGCCAGATGTGCTGGACCAAATCCCTTGTAAACAGGAAGCCCAACATCGTTCTGAAGATGCCTGCCGAGGTGCAGAACTAGTAGATTGCGTATTTGCTAGGTTTTTCAGCAAGTCAGGTATGTTTAAGAGGAATGGTGGGAGAACTGTAACTGCTCCAATCTCTGAGAAATATAAATGGGCATAGGGCATATCGTACCAGTGCATTTCACACTAGTTTAGTTCTGTACGCATAGAACGCACCTGCAGCATGATCCCAATTACACGTACTCGAAGAAGTGTACTCAAAGGAACTGACAGGTTTTAAAATGCATGAGACACCAGTTTGTATAACTTTTCTCTAACATTTAATAAAATGTTGGTCGTGTTGGCCTTAAGGTTGGTATAGAAGCATGGCCAAAATAAATGTTAAAAAAAAAAAGAAAGAAAAAACAACTAACTTTTTTTTTCTTTAAACTGTCAGTATTACATTTCAGTTACATTTACCAAGCATATCTGTTCCACCTCTATTCTGCACTATTCTTAGGCTGTGATCGTTACTGCAATATCTTAGTGTCTTAGAAGCTGGAACAGACCTGATAGATCTCAGAAATTCCTCATCTGGCATTTCAAGCAAGGCAGCTGCCTGAAAGCTTCACTAGCCACTAAACCTAAGAGCTGCAAGAAAGTGCTTTTCTCAGCCAAGTCTTTATAAAGCTTTTCTTATACTTCCTGCACTCATCCCTTACGACAGCACACTTTTATCTGCCCGTTGTTACTTGCCAGATTCAGTCTTTGCCAGATGCAGTCTTTGAAGGGCTACAGCTTTTGTCTGTGCCTTTTTTGGTCTTTAGTTTGTTATTAAAACTTACTTTCAGTTAGCCTTTATATGGTTATTTCAAGAACATTCTAGAGAGTAATGTAAGTCTACTAGTTACTAAACACAGCCATCTGATCGGGATACTGAAAACAGGACCAGCCCCAGGAGAGGTGCATTCTACACTGATTCATTCCAAGCAGAATTTCGTAAGAGACGGCAGCAGGTCTCATTTCAGTTGCGTTTCTTTTAACTATCTAGATTTTCAATTACCCCATCCCTTTTTCTCATTCAACGCAACTGCTAAAATACTTTCCATGTTGCGTTTTCACCTTGTCCAAGAACACTCAACTTGTCCTCACTAAATATGTGAGCCAAATGCCATGTCTTGTATGAGGGGTATCCAGACTGACAGCTGACAGCTCTCTGTTAGCTCATTCATTATCTATTCAATATTCTTAACGCACTCACAGGCCAAAAAAATTGAAGCGTGTCCTTGGTTCTCCCCCTATCCTCACAAGATATTTCTGTAAGTTTAAGACCTTTTAAGAGGCACAGTAAAAACTCATTTATAAGCTTATACATATTTAAGGCTACAACATGCTCTATTATACATTCTGTATTTAAAAAAAAAATAGTTCTTGTTATCTTAATACTGCAGCATCTTCCAGTGGTTTGTAATAGCTTTCTAATGTATTTATCACCCAATTCCCACTTATTATCATCACTGAGTATCGGCGATATGCACTGAACTCACTTGATTCCACTTTCCAGAACAGGCTTTCTCTGTCATAAATATCAAACCAACTCCTTCTAGATGGAGTGTTTCTTTTAACCTATTCAGTGTCCTTGTGAAATCTTTACAGTTTAGTAGCTGGTCATGCTTAAGTAAGTACTGGCTACAGGCAAAGCAGTTGACACAACTCTGAAGTTGTTATTTTGTCTCCATGAATGTAAGCTGTATGATGGATCACATTACCCAACAGAGAAAAACAACATACTCTTTGATAAACCAAATTATCAAAACCAAAATACTAACAGGTCATTGGCAAGAAACTAGCTGGATCATACAGCAAATCTTATAGGAAATTATAGTTATATTTTTTATGTATCTCTTAACAGTGTATTTTCTCTGTTTTCTTAGGCAGAAGAATTGTGAAAAATCCAAACATGTATCTTTCAACATCAGCAGCACTTAGCATTGTCTTAATCTAGATTTTTAGAACCACAGAAGAAACACTGTTCCTCAGTATGAAATAATGCATTTAGTGTTATTCTGATAAATGTAGAGAAAGCAGCACATGAGAATTACCATGAGCAAAATAAAATTGGCAGTTTCCTTTCAGTGGAAGAGAACATGAAGCTGAGAAGGGAAACGAAGTTAATACTGATGCTAACATGAAAGGAGAAATGTTCTGTATACATGAGAAACTTACCAGTACTGCTTGCCCTTGGGAAATAAAGAAATGGCCAGATACAACAATGGTAAGGATGAGATGGCCTGATTCTTCATTTGATTCAAGAACCTTTAAAAAGACAGACAAAACAAAAATCTAGCCCTGTAAGCACAGAATCTACATTTTTCACTTCTAGTGCAAAACTAAAGGTTTCAAAGGTCGGTGCTAGAAGTCAGGTGTATAATTTACCTCTCAGTAATGCAACTTGCCCTCCACTCCCACAGACAGGAGGCACATTTAAGAATTTTTTACTAATTATACCTCTATATACAGATTTAACTACTTTAAACAACCATTTGGACTCATCCAGCTTGATCTATAGGTTTTAATATCACAGGTCACTGCTGAAGGAAGGAATAAAAAAAAAGTGGGCCACTAACTACCATATCATTGATGTGTTTACAGTAATAATTAACAAAGAAAAATCTCTCCTGATTCCTCATTAGCTCTGGACTTGCAAAAAGATATCTGCAAAGGCCTCACTTATTACTGCTTGCTACACAGCCGCCTCCTAGACCCCACTGGAGCCAGTTACCGCACAACCAAGC